ATGTAAGCTGTTAAAATATGGAGGAAACAATATCTGATTGTTTAAAGATAAAATTCTCACTGGGTCGTGCGTCTTTATTGCAAGGCTCAGTCTACTTTAAATTGATGAGTTGAGGGAATATTGGAGGATTTTTATTCTCAGCAGTCATGACAGGAGAATGAGGGAGGTGGGAGTGAAAGCTAGATTGGTTCTGAGCAGCTCTCCTTTCAGTTCTGCTGAAGGTGTCTCTTAGTTGTTTGTCACAGCAGACCCAGCGCCTACAGGCTTAGTTTGCACTTTCTTTTACGAGTATCGTTACCTCCATTTTTCTCAGAAATGTTGAATCATGAAAGTTATCTGGAAGAAAAAAAACATTTCTGATAAAGAACCCTTGAACTTGGTTGCTGTCACCAACCTCCAAGCTGGTGCAAGTGTCAGTGATAAGCACAGCCACCCTCTGCTGCAGTTCTCTCTCCCTAGAAGAAGAGATTGGAAACACATTTTAATTTTGCTCTCTGTATTCAGACAAAGGGAGAGGCAGTCTGTTGCTGGGTGTGCTGAGGTGGGCTATTAAGCCTTGGGCCTATGGTAAGGCTAACGCCAGCAGTCCTCTTCTTTCCCCTTTCTCTGCCATGGGTGGTTTGTCTGTGGAGGGAGAAGGGATGCTTCTCATTGGAGCTGAGTGGGTGCAGCATGTAGATGTGTGGGAGAATAAGAGGCTGTGCATAGCACGAGTGTAGACAGTGTGAGAGTGTGTAGGTGGGCAGTGGGGTAGAGGTCGTGCGGCTGTCAGAGGGGAATACATATTGGCACGGTTTCTACCAGCCCGCCATGTTGCCCGAGCACCTCTGCTCATACACCAAACCCTCTCCTACACACGTGCTGTTGTACAGGGCAGCACTAACCACCCAGGCAGAGACTGTCCCCCGGTTTCCCCCTGCCTCAGATGCTGGTTCGAGCAGGAGATGCCTCGTGGGACGGCGACACCTCAAGGCCCCGAGCACACGCTTGTCCCCCCTCGGAGCCTCTGTGAGAACGCGGAGGGAGGTGAAGGGCGTGCGGTGGTGCTGAACGGACAGCTCCGGGTCCGCGGGACGGAGGGGGATAGGAAGGGACGGGGACGGGGATGTGGAGTGAGGAGGGGAGAGGGAGAGGATCGTGCTGGGGAGGGGGAGAGGGAGAAGAAAAATAGGAAAAAAACTGAAAGAGAGGCAGGAGGGGGGGAGAGACAGAAAGAGCGACAAGGGCAGAGGCAGGGCAGGGGCAGCGACAGAGACAGGGGACAGGGACAAGGCCGAACAGTGTGGGACGACAAAAAAAAAACAGAATGGGAGGGAAAGAAGGAAAAGGAGACGGAGGGAGGAGAAGGAGCGCGGGGTCGGACTGCTCTAAGACGCGGCAGCCGCGGGGGTCTCGGCTTGAGTGGAGGCGGTAACGGAGGCTCGAAGGTGCCAGACGAACGGTACCGGGGCAGCAGGAACAAGGGGGCTGCAGGGCGGCGGCGTGCACGGGGACCGACCGCCCACAGTCTCCGGGACTCTGCAGGCACCGCGGCGCCGGGGAGCTCTTTGGAGCTGCCGGCGAGGAGTGATCGGGGTGCCGGGGCAGCCACGCCGCGACCGGACTGGCTCCGAGCTGCCTTCGGTCCTCCGGGCTCTCCGCGTCCCCACGGTACGGGCTGAGCTCCGGGGCCAAGGGGAGCACAAAGAGAGCCGGGGGAGCCCGCCCGGCCGGTGCCGATGCGCTGTAGCCGGTCAGAGCCGCGGCTGCGGCTGCGAGGCCGCCCGGCTTGGTAGACCAGCGCCGCAGGTTGCATCCGGACAGCACTTGAACAGCTGTTTTGTGCATTTTCTAATTTCGTGCACAGCAGGGCAGCGGTCAGAGAGGTAATCTGTAGATCCGTGGCTTTAAAGGATAAATTAGAGCATTGGATTTGATCCGTATTGCAGTGGATTAGAGCAACCTCTCCCCCCTCCCCTTCTCCTCCCCCCCTTCCCTTCCAATTCACTCCCCCCTCCTCCAGCACCACCTTTTTTCTTCTCATGCAATACCAAAACTGACCCTGCCTGGCAGAGGGACTCTGCTAGGCGAGCGAAGCGGTGCCTATACCGCCGGCACACCGAGGAAGCCAGCTCTTCCCCTTCAGCCTCCGCAGCCCCTCCGGGGCACCACCGCTGCGAATTCCCCTGAGGCAGACGCCGGGGCCGGGCTGCCTCCTCCGGGCGCCGGGGAGCGGGCGCTGCTCTGGGGGTCCCCTTTGCCGAGCCCCGCCGGGGCCGTGGGGCGGCGGCGAGAGAGAGCTTCCCCGCCTCGGGGCTCTCCCGGAGCAGAGCAGGGCCGGGGACCCGGCAGGAAATGGAAGGATGAAGTGTGCAGCCGGAGCGGTGATGTTCGTCCTCTCCTTGCTCTCCCCTGCAGGAACGTAATCCGCAATGCTAGTTCTCAGGTTGCTCAATGTTGTTGCTCCAGCCTACTTCTTGTGCATCTCCCTAGTGACCTTCGTCCTCCAGATCTTTCTCTTCATCCCCAGCATGTTCAGAGACCCCTCCACCACCCCACTTTTCTCTCCTGCTCTGCTGCATGGGGCCCTCTTCCTCTTCCTCTCAGCTAATGCCCTGGGCAACTACATCCTCGTGATCCAGAGCTCCCCTGAGGAACTGGGCAAGGGCTTAAACTTGGGCGAAGGAGCTGAAATGGTGGCGGACTGGCTGGATGGAAGCAGGTCCCCTGGCTCAGCTTTGCCCAGCACTCACTACTGTAGACTGTGTGCCAGAGTCACCCAGAGGCATGACCACCACTGTTTCTTCACAGGGAACTGCATTGGGAGCAGGAACATGCGGAACTTCATCATGTTCTGCCTCTACACCTCTCTGGCTTGCCTCGACTCTCTGGTGGCAGGCATGGCTTACATTTCTGCTTCACTCTCCATGTCCTTTGCAAACCCACTCGCCTTCCTCACACTTCTGCCTCACTCTATCAGCCAGTTCTTCTCAGGTAAGGATCCTTCCTTGGCCATGAGGAGCCCATTCTTCTTCCAGGGCTCCAGGATAGTGGCCATGGTCTTTGCTGTTTGGCTGTGTGTGAGGATGGGTGGGGGGAGGGTGCAGGCATGGGGAGAATTGTCTGTGTTTGGTAGAGCCTCCTTTAAAGGCAAAGGCTTCAGAGACTGGGACCCTCTCCAGGTTACAGATACAGCCCTATTCATAATGTGTTGTACTCTGGAAAACACTCTGTAACCAGACTGCCAGAGATGGTCTAGGGCTGCGGTCATGCATGAGGCATTTAGACAGAGAAGGGAGATTTTATTCATTGTACTACAGGTGAGGGGAGTCTTACATGCAGATGCGGAGAGTGTCCCAGAGGAGATACGACCATTCTCTTCATCCAACTCATGCACCTACTCCACCTCCTGCCTCCTGTCAGAGCAAACTTACTGATTCTAGCACAGGAGAATTTGGGTTCATGTTTCAGGAATCAAGCAATTTGTTAATGTAATGTGACCAAACACCTCTCTGTTGACTCTAGTCTGGGATGCAGCTCTACAGAAAGCCAAGACAAATTATCCATTCCTGCTCTCTGGAAGAGCTCTGCACCCAAAGCAAACCTCTGTCTTCCTTTCACCATCCCTTATTCGTCCCTCTGCTTTTCCTGATTTCCCTTCTCTTCCCGTCCTCCTGTAAATGTCCCCAGGATTTCTCCTTCCCTCCCATTCATTCTGTTCCTGTGCCTTTTCCCCCACTTTGCCAGCCCTGTCTCTTCACCTTTCACCATGCTCTCAAACTCTCCAACATCCTCCCTTTCTCCGTCTAAATGTAAGAGCTAGATAAAACCTGATCTGGGGCAAGTTACTCTGCAAACAGCAGTCTGCTCTGAAATTGACAGCTGAAAAATGCCATTTTCCCCACATGCAGTTCATGCTGAGCACATTTAGATCAGTTTAAAATAGATATTCCACATATTTTAGCTTTGAAGGTTCAACTGAGCACAGTAAGAAGGGCCTGGAGTCTGTTTTGGCTTGTGCACTGCCACCAGAATTGTTGATCATTATCTGATAGGGGGATCTCCATTGCTGGTGATGCAAGAGCCAGAAAGACCCCAGATTGCTTTCAGATTTCAGGCTGGGTTTGCAGGGTTGCCATCTGAAAACAAACAAATATCTCTACTTGGCAAATGAACAGATTCGTCATGGTAATCACTGAGAGACTATAAACATGAAATCCTGCCATGACATTTTTATGGAGTCATTTTTCCATGCAAAAGAATTTTTGTAAATAGTGTTGCACGAGCTTCACTAGCATTAAAAACACTTGGCATGTTTTTCCTTGGTGCCTAAGCTCTCCTCAGCACATCAGCCTAGAAGGGAAAGCAGGGATGTGGGAGAAGATTATCCAGGAATTAGTTCTCTCCCTGATTCTGTGAATTCATCTGCACCAAGCTGGGTCCTGGCACATGTCTGAAGAGACACTGGAGTGCCCCAGTTTTGGTGTCAGCACCCACAATGCCAAGGTTGGCACACAGCAGTGTGTGAATGGGATGTGAAGGGGCTAGGGGCAAGGTTGGGGGCTTGGGCACCCAGGAGTCAACAGAATCACAGAAACATGAGCCCATGGAATTTCTGCCATAGCTGGAGTGACAGCACACAGTAACATGCAGGTGCCTCGGTTGCTCAGGAGGAAGGGCCTTCTGGGCTTCCATCAGTGCGTTTACCTCCTATGCAGGAAAGAGAAACATGGCCTGGAATAGTTAGTTACTAGAAGGACTAGAAGGACTGCCCACCCAATGTTCTTATGCAGCCATTACTTAGGTGGGATCCAAACAGCATTGCTATAACAGGAAAAAAAAAAACAAAACAACTTTACCCTTCATCTCCAGAGTGCCCTTGGTGCTGGGGAGGAGGGAGAGGACAGAAGTTGAATCTGCTGATCTCAGGCTCAACTCAGTGTTTCCTGCTTCCATGCTGGGAAAATTTTTGGTTGGCTCATTTTCCCAGACCATGCTGAAGCATATATTTTGGCGTCTGACCCAGAGTCTATAATTTCAGTCTGTGATTCAGTTTTTCTGGCATAGATAACGTATGGTAATAAGCTTGAGACCATGTCAGGTCAGTCAGAGCAAAATGAACCCGAGACTGAAGTGGACTGTAATGATGAGGGGCAAATGAAGAGCACTTCTATAAATACAGGTCAGGCCAGATCCAAGAAAGAATGGATAGAAAATGCTTTTTCTGGGCAGCCACAAAAAATGCATAAGTGCATTTTTAAATAAGGTTAAAAAATGCACACATCTGGAAAATATGGCTGAGAGATGCTGAATAAATGCAAAGGGAAACGAGTGTAATTACTTATTTGATGCTGAATTTCAGCAGCTCATAGAAACAAAGCTTGCAGCTGTCTTCCCAAGGCTCAGAAGAAAGTCCCTTTCCTCTGCTCCATCCCATCTGAAATCAGCTGTAGAAGGGAACACATGCCTGTCATACAGGTCCAGCAGAAGAGCAGAAAAACCTGTATTTGGCTCTGCACTTCCAGTTTGGTCCCCTAAATTATTCTAATAGAATTGGTCTGGGGGATTTTTCATCATCCTGGACACTGTTCTCTCCTTGCTGCATGACATACGAAGCCCACTGGGATCTAATGATTTCTCGTTAGATGATGCTGCAATTAAAGAGAGCACAGAACAACTCTGGTGCCTTTTCTTAGCAGGATGATACAACAGTTTGGGGCTGCAAGCAGCACCCTCACCAACAGCCCTCAGAGTGGCCTGCAGGCAGAGCCCAGGTCTGAGCACATGGTGCAAGCCTGTGCCAAGTCTGTGCTCCCACCCTGCATGCCAGGCAGGCTGGGCTCAGGGACCATAGGTTGGATGGAGTATTCTAGTAGCAACTTTAAGAAAGAAACTTGGACTGCATTTGGGAAAGTTTTCTGTTTCAGATTATTGCATTCATGTGAAAGCTGTATTTGTCAAATGGTAGGAAAGGCATTACTGATTTTTCATTTTTTTTAAACATATTATTGTTCAGTGATTATACATATCACAGAATGGTTTAGGTTGGACGGGTCCTTAAAGCTCACCCAGTCCCAACTTGTGCCATGGGCAGAGCTGCTGCTCCCCATCAGCTTGGGCTGCCCAGAGCCCCATCGATCCTGTCCTCAATCCCCTACTTGGATGGGATCTATAGCTTCTCTGGGCACATGTATGTCTAGTGATGAGCCCCAAATCTGTCTGCCTGGTATTAATGCATACAGTAAGGTTTCTGGAAGCATCTAAATGCTGTAGAACTGCATCTCCTTCCAAAAGGAGCCTGGGAACCTCTGAGTCCCTGTGCTTAACAGGCAAGTGCTGAAATAATTTCATATTCTTCAAAATAGAGCTGCAGTCATACAAATGCTTTCACTTCTGGAGACTGCCTCTGAAATCCAGACCACACATTAACAACAAAAGGAGAACTCTGCAGAGACTGCCACCATTTTAGTACCTCCCCAGTGGGATGCACTGCCTGGGGCACTACAAGGAAAGGGATGCACTGCCTGGCCACTACAAGGAAAGAAATTTTATGTCGTTATTCACCACCCTACCTTTCTCCTCACTCACTTCTTGTATGGCTGCTCAATGTGGCCAGCCAGGCCCTCAGGGCTGCATTCGATGCTGACATGTGAGAGATTCCTAAACTCTTTCTTTTGCTGTTCCCCTCTCCTGACTGTCATTGTGCAGGGGCTCTGCTCAGCTCTGAGATGTTTGTCATCCTCATGCTCTACCTCTGGCTTGGGATTGGGCTGGCCTGTGCTGGGTTCTGCTGCCACCAGCTGCTGCTGATCCTGCGTGGTCAGACACGGTACCAGGTGCGGAAGGGGATGGTGGTGAAAGCCCGGCCCTGGAGGGAGAATCTGCGGGAGGTCTTCGGCAAGAGATGGCTGCTGGGGCTTCTTGTCCCCATGCTGAATGTGGGAAGCGACTGCCGCAGGCAGAAAGTGAAATAAAAACCCTGCATGTGCATCCCTTGCAGGCAGCACTCCCCAGCTCCTGGACTGTGAGGAGCTTGGCCACTTCATCCCTTGAGACTGCAGCCTCTGCAGGAGGATGGGACCGGCTATCCAGGAGAATCAATTTAGCCTATTAATGCAGAGATCACAAACCATGTAGAGGAAGAGATACTGCAGCTTAGTAGTCGCATCACTGCACCTGCATACATGGCAACAGGCTTTGAACTAGCAGCAGGATTAGTCTGATCTCAGTTCCCTGCCCTCGGCCACCTGTATGTCCCCAAACAAGCTACAGCAGGAGCTCCCTGAGAGCCTGGGTTGTTGTGATAGGCTGCAACACTGACATCTGCTCATTTGGAGCCTCCAAGGTGCCTTTGGCCCTTTCGTTCTGGAGGCAACAGCACTGAGAAGCCCTCCCTGGCAGACCTGCAATGCAATCAAGCCTCCAAAGGAGCAGGCTGTGAACACAGCTATGGCAGCAGATTAATCTGCTCTCAAAAGGCTAAGGAAAACCAGGAAGGAAACAGAGAGAAATCCAGTATTTCTCCATTTCTGTCGCAACCCACTCCCTGTGCAATGACAGGCCAACACTGCAGCTTTGCCACATGCTTTCAGCAGCCCTTTGTCCAGGAATGCAGCACAGACAAAGCTGCAGCAAGCAGATAAATCAGCATCAGGCAGAGCAAAGGGAGAGGCAATGCAGAGGTGAATGGAAAGCTGTGTCTGAGGAAATGTACTGTCAGGCTGGGTGAAAGACAGAGACAAGAGCACGTTCAGGGATGTGCCCACGTCCCCCTGCACCACACTCTGCAGAGGGCACCGACACTGTTGGTGCTGCGAGGGGCTCTGAATGCCAGGAACAGGAGCAGTTTCAGTGGATCAGGACACTTTGCTTTGCACTAAAATCAAAATGTTTACCTTGGACATCCCTGCCACACCATGTTTTTAGGCTCTCTGGAGCAACGCTTCCCTCTCACGTTGCTGCAGAGGGGTAAATTCATCCATGTTATAACTCCATTAAGGAGGTTAATGGAATTACTACAGGGATTAATCAGCCTAACGTGTCAGTTGTTTTCCAGCTGCAGCAACAGCCCTTGAGATCAGTGCAGATATGCTATGCTAATAGGTGCCTTAAGAAAGAATGAGCAACATTGACCGGGATCATAGTGCTGGGCTCCTCAGCACCTGCAACAAGAAGCTGTTGTTTTGGCAAACTGCATCAGCTTATATGGGCTGGGCAGAAATCCATTGCTTCTCTTTAATAAGCTGGGGAATATGCTGACAAGCCGTGAAAAATGTGTTTTCCCTTCCTCAAAAATGCTCTCTATGCATTCTCTATCCCAGGTAGAGAAGCACACGTGCTCACATCCTTGCATTCCTCATGAACCACAGCAGAGGCACACAGTCCTATAGCTTCACACTTGTATACACGTTTGGATCAATAATAAAGTCTATTGTGATGAGCAAAGCAACCATGAAAATATACTGAAAAAACCCTAACTGGATAATTAAAACTTGTAGCATACAAACCCTTCCACACTGTGTGTGTTCGCATGAATGCACTACTATTGCAATGTGTAATAATCTGTATTTGCACTAACTGTGAACAATAAAAAGTGTTTTGACTTTTTATGGTGGCTGTATTATGCTTTTTAACAGTTCATTGTCTGTCTTTGTATGTGACAGAAGCTACGTTTGTTACCTCATGCATACAGACATTCTGAAGGAAAAAGTCAGGATGTTTATCAATTTGCCAGTAATTCAATGTAACATTTTGGATAAGTCTTTTCACCCTTTCTACTTTAATGTAATGACCAATCTAAAAATGCATCTAGCAGGCAACTTGGAGACGCTTTCTAATCACTATTTATAAATTACACTACAAACCTCAGTGGAAAGCTACAAGAAAATTGAGTGTTATCACTGCCCACAAACAGCATCTCAAAGTAAATTATTCCCCACTGGTGAGGTGGCACCAAGGTGAGCAGACAGTCACCTTGTCGCTGGCAGCTGAGCCAGCACTCGGAGCCATGCACCTCATCTTGGACAGGCTCCAAAATTATTCTTGTCCCAACAATCAGTTGATGCAACAACTTCTTTTATCAGATATCTCCACAGGCAAAGGGCTCCCAAGGTTTTACATCAGTAGAAATTATGTTCTTACCCTCTGCAGCTGGCGCTTGAATGCTGCAGTTTGTGCAGCTCATGGCATTCAGGGCCTGCTGCCAAGCCATGAGCTTTTTGGGGGTGGCATTGTGGGGAAGGCACAGCCAGCTCACAGCTTGGGTGGACTGCCTGTGAGGACAGTCCTGTGCAGGCAGTGATGTTAATTGCCCCCAGAGCCTGCTATCTCTGCTCACTGATGCTGGGCCACGCCTGCCCTTTGCCAGTCAGAGCTGTCTGCCCTCGCTGCAAGGTTTCTCCATGTTGCAGCCCAGGGGGATCTCAATTTGAGCAACCACAGCATGGCTCCCCACAGTTATCCTTCACCCAATTGTTCTTCCCCATGACTTATTCAGACATCTGTGTTCTGACTGCAAACCATCACGTTGTCATTTTGTGCAGTGAAATGCTTCCCCTGCAGCAAACAGCTGGATGTCGGCAGAAGTGGTGGGACTCTCAGATGTATGCAGTCTTTACAGTTATGATCCTCTGGGATGAAAAGAGCTATAAAAATGTAACATTACAGTGACTCCTTGTATTGGCTTATTTCTCTCCTCATTCCCAGTTGCGTGGACTGCCCTATTTGGGGCAGATCATTAGTTCTGCAGGAACAGCTGAAAGCAGCTCTTTGATTATCCAGCTGTCCTGACACCCCTTCCCAGTCATACCTGTGCATTCACTTGTAGAAATCCTTGGGCAGAAAATGTAACAGGGCTCAACAGCTCTGAATAGAGCCTTTGCTCTTAGCTATGAATTGGTAAATGAGGGCTTAGCTCAACAGCAGTGTCACAAAATCTCAGCTAAATCCATTTGATGGCTCTGAAGTTTTATAAGGGTAAATAAAAGCTTCCCAATTTCTGTGCTTAGAGAGCTAGTGCTTACCATTTGCATTTTATTAAGTAGCAGCCGCAATAGCAAAAGCATTTCAGAACATGATTTCTTGTGACAATGTTTAAGTATTTCTAACAATTTTAAATATAAAACATCTAGGGCTTCTCTGTGCTTTGGAAAATCAGATGACCATAATTTCTTCTCCAGTAATGATAATGGCTGAGGGGAAAAGCTCCCTGTTGCCCAACTCCTTGCCACAGAAACCACAGGCTTTCACTGAGTGGCTTCCTGAAAAAAATAGTGCCATCTGTAAGGCCTCAGAAGCCTTTGCAACAATAATGGAAAGCAATTTGAGGAATGTAAATGCGAAATAAACCAGTAGAGATCAGTTCTTATATATAGCGAAACTCTTATACAAATAAGAAGTAGGTGATATTCTTTTTCATACTACACTGTTGGGCAATCATTCAGGTCTGCATGCAAAAGGTCTCCACTGAATATATTCAAAGGATACAGAGTCGAAACATGAAGACTCTGAAGTAATAAGGCATGGGGAAGAGATGAGAAAAGATGAGGTGAAATAGCATTTATCTTCTTTAAGAAATAGCCAACTCAAGGGAGATGATCACAGTCTAAAAATACTTGCAAGGAGACAGAATAAATGAATGAGTGGACTCATTAGCTGTAAGAAGATAGTTGGAGGAGGACAGGCAGTCCTGTAGCGAGGAAAAGAAAAGCCAAGGTCAGGGATGAGGGCAGCTATCTTTATAACACTCAGTGGAAAGCAATCAGAGATGTGTTCCCAGTAAGAGTAGAAGCGGTTTTATGTTGGTAGGGATGATGCATCAACATCCAGCAGGTGATAGGGGGTATGACAGCACAATTCAAGTTGTCTTTATTGATTGTTGACTGAAAAGACATGGAGAAAGCCCAGTCTAAGAAAACAGATTTTTGATAATTTTCTGCACAAAACCTCTCAAAACCCTCCAGCAGAACTCAAAGGGCTTTTCTCAGCTGAATAACAAATAATGCTACCAGCAGGTGCTCAGTGAGTAGAAGTCCTAAGTCATAAGAGCAGAATCTGTGTAACAGTTCTCTTCAAGTTACTTAGAGACCAACCAGAGCTATCATGGTTGGAATAAAGTGATGACCTACTTGTTCAAGATGAATAAGTAAATGGAGAAGAGAATTTAAAGCATCTAAGGAGACTCTGCTTTTCTAAATGTTTACACTGATAGAAACATAATGTCAAGCAACATACATTAACAAATAGTATGATGGTATAGCAATGTTATATAATAATAACAACGTGTCCAAATGTGGGTTCTCTGCTTTTTCAGTTCTCTTCCAGAAAGCACAGGGAATAAAGAGATCTTGGAGCTTACACCACACGTCAGCAAATATGGACTAGTTAATGCTTCTGATCTCCTCTGGAAGCATTCTGCCAGCATCATCTTCACCACACCAAAGAGGTCTTAGCATTGGGTTTCCCTCAGGATCTAACTGCCAAGAGATGATGGTGCTCAGGCAGGACAGTCCCATGGCCCTTAAGGATTTAGAGTCAGCATTTTCCAAGTCTCCTCATGTGTTTACAAAGAAAAAATACAAGTTCTCAAGTGCTGGTGTCAAGTACCTTGCACAGTGCCTCATTTAACGTTCTGGCAGACACCTTAATAGCAGTTCCAGAACTGATGTGAATTGAAAATACATGGAACACACTGCAACAATTTGCTTTGAAAATGGAAGGGGGTGAATGGCAGTAACCAGCTCCACATGTACAAGAGAATACTCACCTGTGATCAGTGGGGATGGGAAAGTTCCATTTGTCTGCTACTGATTTTCTCAGCGCTGCTGTTAATCTGTCTTGATCTTGAATAGTTAGCAACTTGAATTTCCTATTATTGCTGTTTATCCACAGGCTTAGGGGGATGCCTAGTCTCTACTATGTTATTTAGTTGCTTTTCTCTCTCTGTTTTTGCCACCAATCATTCCCAGATTCAGGT